TGCTACTCTCTACTTGACTCATACTAAAACAAAAACAAACGTTTGAAAAGGCACCTATCCTATTATTTCTGGTTGCCCCCATTCCGTTCTCTCTTGAACCCCTTCCAGCCAGGCTCTCACGCAGCCCTCAGCCACCCACATGCGTGGCCACGATGTCGGTCCGTGCTCAGTGCTCAGCTCAGCAGCGCTGGGCTCAGCTTCACTTCCTTCCTGAAGCTTCACCAGACTCACCGCCCCACCCTCCTCCTCAGCTTCTGTCTCTGTCCTTTCACACCTCCCTCTGGGCCTTGCAGAGTCTGGGACTCAGTCCCTGGAACGCCCATCCAGTCTCATGGTCTTGACCAGCATCTGTACGTTAGGGATTCTTAAATGTGGTTCTCCCGCCTAGATTTCTCCCCTGTACTCCCACAGGCATATTCACCTTGTTCCTGAGACCTCCACTGGAATATTTAGCTGGCATAATTAACAGGTCCCCAAATCAAACTTCTGACTTCCTAATTCCATCTCCGACCTACCCATCCCTATCTTCCCCATCTCAGGAGATGGCAGCTTTATCCTTTCTAGCTGCTCAGACCACAAAGCTTGGGGATCATCTCTAAGTTCTCCCCTTCACACCTCAGAGACCAAATCAGATTGGCCCAGATTCAAAATCTATCCAAAATGCAACCGCTCTCACTGCCTCCAGTGGAGTCTGTCACCTGGATGACTGCAGCAGCCTCCTATCCCACCTTCCCATTTCTACCCGTCTCTCTATCCTCAACACAGTAGCCATGATGATCCTTGGAAATATGTTCAGGAATGTCATTCTTCTACCCAGAAGCTTCCAGTGGCTCGCATCTCATTCAGAATAAAAGCCAAGTCCTCACAGTGGCTGACAAGGTCCTAATAATCTGCTTCCACTTAACCTCTAGTCCCTCTTCCTGTCATTCTCCCCTGGCCCCTCCCCTACAGCCACACTGGCCTCCTCGCTGCTCCCCTGACACCAGGCTTGTTCCCACCTGGGGGTTGGGGGGAAGCTCTTGACACAACACTCTCCCTAGGTCTCTGCACTGCTCACACCCTCACACTAGGTCTTTGCTCAGTGGTCATTTCATCCTGACATTCTCTGTAGCACTCATTTAACCTAATTGTTGCTTTATTGTCTTGTACCCACTGGAACGTTCCATGAGAGCAGGGACTTCATTTTGTTCACTGTCCTTCCCCAAGCACCTAGGGCAGTTCTGGCACACTACAGTTAAGGTTTTGATAGAGTCTGCAGCATGGATGGATGGATGGATGGATGGTCGGTCGGTCAAGCAAAGAGGCTTAAAAATGCCTGTGCACAAATAAAGAAAAAAGTCAGGGTAACTAAATTTGAGCCTACATGACATGGGAGAGTGGCAGAGGCCAAGCAGGGGAATCACCTCAGGAATGGATATGGGAAGGGTGCCCAGTAGGGGAGTTTGCATCTGTGAACACCAGAGGGGACTGCCCAGCCCTGGTCTGGCTAGCGCTACAGGGCACCGAGCCAGCCCCCAGGGACCTCACCTGGCCTCTTTTTTTTTTAAATCCTCCTCCTCCTTTCTCGCAGTCAGGACTCTGAGAAAGGATAAGAAAAATGCTGGAATTCCCATCAAAGGCCACTAGACACATGGTAGAGAGATCAGGACCCTTGGGATCCTGCTTCCTTGAGGTAGTGGGGTCTCCCCGCCAGCCTGGCTCCTCTCTGGATGGAGGTTGGGCGGGGGCAGGGGGTGGGTGGGGGTGGTTCTGGCCCTGGACTCCTCATATGTCAAATGCCGAGCAGCAGGAGGTCCGCCTGCATGAGGCTGGCCAAGCGGCCCCCATCTGGGCTGTGTGTTCATATCGGGCGTGGGGGATGAGGGGGCTGGGAGGCGGGAGTGCAGCAATCCCTGCCTGTATCAGCAGTGCAGTCAGGGCCACAGACAAGCTGCGGCCATCTGTTGTCTTGAGAGGCCAGGCCGGGGGCCCAGCACCCTTGAGAATAAACCTTTCCCTTCTCCCTGTTTCTAGTGTTTGCAGAAAACATTCATAGTTTCCATTCAGTTTCACCATCACAACTTCCTTCCCAGATAAGCATATTCTCCCCATTTTACAGAAGAGGAAATGGAGACTCAAAGACTGGGAGTGATTCTCTCAAGGTCATAATAGCTACTAAGAGAGGAAGCTGGGACTCAGCCCATTCTGCCAGCCCCTCCTACTCCAGCCTTGGCCAAGGTACCTGGGTGCCAAACACAGGGCCCACACAGGGCTAGGCATTCAGGAACTGCCTTTCTGTCCATTCCTGGCTCATCACTCAGCCTCAGGCCAAGCCTTCCTCCCAGCCCCTTCTAGGAAGCCTTCTAGGACTGACATCCCACTAAAATGCCTCAAAATCTAGAGGTCTGTACAACCACTCCTTTCCCACCCGGGGCTGTTGGTCTGTCTCTGGTGTTTGGCCCCCTGGTGATCAGGACCTCTTCAGGGCAGCTCAGCCACCCACAGGAGCAGATGATCCCCTAACTGCACATGATCCACAGTGGGGGCTGGGGTGGTCTGACAGACTGGGAAGGAAAGCATCTACTGCCAGGAAGAGTCCAAGGTCACACAAGGTCACACAGCCAGGAAGGGATTTGCACCCAAGAGCTTGGCTTGAACCCCTGAACACAGCCTCTAATCCTGTGCTCTCAATCATAGTTGCTAGCCTCAGGTGGCTATTATTTAAATCTAAATTCATTAAAATATATTAGCATTTAAATTATTTATTAATAAAAATTAAAATATATTATTACTGTTAAAGATCCAGTTCCTCAACAGCACCAGCCACACTCCAAGTGCTCAATAGTCATGTGTGGTAGAGGCTATGGTATTGGAGAGCAGACACAGAATATTCCCATCAGCGCAGAAAGCTCATTTCAACAGCACTGTTCTGGTCTCAACTAGGGCTTCATTCTGCAGCCAGGCTGCTTCCCACCAGAATTGGAGCCTCTGCAGCTTTCTCTTGAACTTGAATGGAGTGTTACTTCTTAGGGTCTCCAGGGAGGCTTCCCTAGGACTCAGACTCCTTTCATTAGGATTCCTTGGAAGTTTTATGGTTAGGCTGACCTCCACCTTCCCCAGGAGCTAGCAAGGGGAGGAATCGCTAGCTGCACCAACCCCCTCCCCACCAGCCTGGCCTGATTGCCTGCCACCCTCAAGCTCAGGGTCAGAGAGGAGGGGCAGGCTTAAGGGGAGAGCATGGTAGGATCGGGTAGTTTGTCATCTGGCCCTTCCAGCTGTGCTTCCTTCCCTCCCCTATCAGCTGCTCAACACCCCTCCCCCTTTCCCTACCATCTTCATCCTCATCAAATCCCAAGGACAGATGGGGGCCGGCAGGGAGAAACGTGACCACAGTGCAAGCACTCTCAAGTGGCAACAGAGACCAGGGGTCACAGCTGTGTCCCCTGAGGCCTGACAAGTCCCTCATGTCCAGCCTGTGTCAGCCAGGTCTAGGCTAAAGCAAACCTCAGTAAGGGGAGGGTAGACACTTAGGAATCTTAGGGGGAGATTTAGGAATCTGTAGGTGCTGGATTATTCCAGCAGATACAACCCAGTTAAAAATGCAGTCACTCATGTGGTCACTCAACCATCCAATCATTCAACACACATTAATAAGGCCCTACCATGTCAAGATGTAATAAGAGGATGTAAAGATGGACAGGTGGGCTCCCTAACCAGCTTGACCAGGTAGGGATGTGACTTGTTCTGGGCTTTAATCCTCCTTCCAGGCTAGGTGAAGATCCTTTGTCTCTGCCCAGTGGTCTGAGCAGGATGGACATACCCCAGCCCCCTCCTCTCAAGTAGACGCAGGCACGCATACACTCTCCCAGCTGCTGCCATGAACCCCCCTCCCGTGGTCTCTGGCCAATCACAGCACTGAAGGGTAAGTCCCACTGCCCAGCGGCCCAGGGAGTATATTAGCACATTTGAACCACTCACCCTGCAATGACAAAGCCTGGGGCCTTGGAAGGAGACACAGCGGGAGGGGTGGGAGCTAAGGGGGGCTGTCCTCCCTCCCTCCCAGGGGGAAGCTGAGGGCTAGATTAAACATTCTGGGGCACAGAGGAATTTGGGGGCCCCAGCTCCAGCAGTGAATAAGCGATCCATAAAATCCCAATTTACACACTCACTGATCAAACGGTCCATCTACTACCCTAGGAGGTTGGGGGTGGCTCTTGGCTTCCCCTCTCCTGAGAAGGCCCTCGGGACCTGGGAGCTGGGCCCAGAACACAGGCTCCCAGCATTTTATGTGCAGACTAAGTCCCACCCCCAACCCCCAATAGGGGCATCTGTCCTCAGGGCTTGGGGACCAGCCTATACCCCCTGCGACCTGGCTGCCTTCCTGGGGTGGCTTGCCTAGCAGCCATCTTTGTCTGCGTTCTGTGAATAACAGCTCTTTCTCCCCTGTGCTGCCTGGGGGCTGCCAGGGCCAACTTCAGCCTCATCAGAGCCGCTAATCACTTTTCCAGCTCTGAAGCCCTACTCTCCCCCAACCCCCTTCTTTCCAAGCACCGGTCTATGTTTTCTCTTGCCCCTCTTACTGGTGCTGTAGTTGCTGGGGATGCTCTGAGCCCTTTCTGTCCACTACACCAGCTCATCCCATCTCCAGGCTATGCGATCTCCAGACTCCAGGAACACCGGTGGGGGAGATTGGTCCTCTATCTCCAGACCATCTACCTGGAAACACCAGGTAGGGCAAAGTAGCCTAGTTAGGACCCTTGCTTCTTCCCCAAGAGGAAACACAGTTTGTCTTTACCTATCTAAATTTTGTTTGCTTCACTTAGTTAGGCTGCCTGAAATTTCAGCAAGACCATTCTGATTAATAAGCAACCTTTTTTAAGCCAAGGGTACTTCTGAAAGGTTCCAGGCTATCAGCCACTTGCCCTTCAGGGAAGGTTTAGCAAGGCTGGTTTGCTTCTCCCTAATGCCTGCTTGAGCCGAGGGGCACTGAGCAAGTAGCAGTTTTCATGGAGGCCACCTACCATGAGCCTGTGGGCTGGGCATCGCTCTCAGGGCAGCCCTCCTTGTCGCACCCTCTTCTCAGTACTGGAGCTACTGTTGGAGCAGGTTAGGGATAGACTTCAACTCTTGGGCTCTGGGGACAGGACAGAAAGGGAGGAAGGGGTCACTCTGTCTGTGCTTTCCAGAGGGCCCAGAAGGTCAGGCTGTTACCTCCCAGAGGCCATTGCATATGGGCCAGGGCTTGGTTGCCATGATCTTCAATACCTACAACAGGCTGCTAGGTAGGGATAATGGTGTAAGTCCATTTCAGCAGGACACACCCCTTCGCTTCTTCCTTTCCTCACCTTCACTAATGCTCCCAGGGGCCCTTCAACATAGCCTGGACCTACAGCAACTCAAGTTAGGCAAGCCAGCCTAAAAGACTGACCCAGGGCTGGGGGTCTCTGAGCCCACCCCAGCAAGCCCAGGGAGTCCATCTGGCAGTCACCATCCCACCTTCCTCCTGTGGCTCAGACGGTGCAGGGAGTAAAGTCAGCCTCTGAGAGGTGGGACAGGTGTCTCAATCTGTTTCCTCCAGTGCGAAATGGAGAGACCCAGCATCCCCCTCACAGGCTGGTGTGAGGGCACTGAAGGAAGGGTGGCACTTTCCAAACTGGCTGGAGAGGGGCAAGGTACCAGGGCAGGTTCTGACATGGCTCCTAAGAGGGCTGGCAAGGTGCTTCAGCCTAGGAAGCAGGGAGGAGGAGGTAGATTTGCTCTCTGGGGCCAAAAGAACCCAATGGGCTTGAGGGTCTCTAAGGAGAGAAGTGCATCCCCCGAGCTTCTCATCCCCCAAGCTGCCCATCGGGCCCCAGAGTGTGAGCATCCCTGCAGGAGTGCGGCCCCTGTCCTGCCCCTGACCAGCTGCTGGCTGGGTCTGCAGAGGCTGTGGGGAACTGAGTTCGCTGTCCCTGAAAGTGCATTCTGAGTCCCAAACCACAACTTCCCAGGACATCCTAGCCTGACCCCTGGCCCCTCTGACCTGTGTCTTTGGTCACTTTTATCAGCTCCTCTTCTGCCAATAGATAGAGGAGCCCTAGGGCCCTGCCATGCCCTCACTTATGCCATTTAGAAACTGCCAGGCAAGGTCACATGTCCGTTCAGTTCCCTCTTGAGAGCCACCACACCAGGCCCAAATTCATCCTGAGCCACACTTTTCACTGTCCCTGGGAATCTTAGGGGAGATTTGGAATCTAGGAGAGACTTGTTAGGACCCCCATGGCTGTCCACCAAGGCCTCAGACTTGATACACTCAAGGAAGACACATCTGCCTTCTTTCTTCAGAGTCCATCCTGTCACCCTGGAGGCCCTATGTCTCCACTTCTTGCAGCCTCCACCTATCCAGCTGGTCACTGAGTCCCCTTGACACTCTCTGGAATGACCCACAGCTCTCAGGTCCCCCACCACATCTGGCTTCGCATCTGGACTCACTGTCTCTGCCTCCTAATCATTTTTCTGTGTGGCTGTCAGGTGGTCCTTCTATCTAAAACACAGGCTCACCCCCCACTGACCTCAGGGTGGATGCTAAGCCCCTTAGCCTGGCACCGGAGGTGGGTCAGTTTGTCCTCCCTCCAGCTTTGGACCCTGCCACATCAGTCCATTCTCTGGGCCATACATGTTCACACTTCCAGGCCTTTACTCCATCGGGTCCCTCCGCCCAAAATACTTCTCCCCGGTTCTGCTGCAGGGACGCTCCCATGCTACGATACCACTTTGATTCTGATGTTGCTGGCTCCCTCTTGGATTCCCCCAGTAAGTGCCCCTGCACCTCTGTTGACCACTCAAACGCCTTATTTGCAGTTGATGTCACCTGTTAACTTGGAATCTCCATTCCCTGCCTGCTCAGACACCCCTGCCCCTGGGCCTTTGCACAGCAGTTCTCTAGCCCAGCAGCACCTGTTGTTCCCTGTCCTCCCTGTGCTTTCCTTCCCAAGTCCCTTCCCCAGAAAACTTTCCCTGATACAGTGGCACTGGAAAGAGCAGGGCCTTTGGAATTCTTCTATAGTAAATACCTAGGTTCTGAGTAATCCCCGTTTTTAAAGATTATTTACATTTTCATTGAGGCACAAAGATTTGCAATTGAACCCTCTTCTTTGCTCCAGTGAAGTGCTCAGCTTCTCACCACAGGTTGGTGACAGTAACAGCCATGCACAAGGCTTTTGGGGATCTCAGTGTGTGGAGGCCCAGATGCATATCAAGCAGGTACTCACTCAGTGGAGGAGGCTGTGCCTATGGCCCAGCTCAGCCCCACTGTTGTCCCAGGCTGGATCAGACCCTCCCGGTGCCTGCTTCTTGTAGGTCTGCACCTGGGGATCCTTGTGCCTCGGGACTTGGCCCTGCATGGGTGCAAGATGGAGGATGAGATCAGGGCTCTTGACTAGTTTTCAGCATAGGCCACTTTTGCAGTCTGGTAAGGCAGCAGATGCAGTCAGCCCACCCAGGTCTAGTAAATTCCCCACCCTCCTCAGAAGAGGTGAATTCATCATAAAAGGTGTTTGGCTTAATGTTGGCCTGTTCTCAAAATTACTATTTCAACGTTTAGGATAAAAATACACGGGACAGCTATATTTGTCAGTTGCACCTCAGTAAACCTGGAGGGGGAATAAAATGTTAAAAAACACACGGGGCTACAAAGGGAATTAAAAACACTGGACTCCAATTCATCCATGAACTCCTCGGGGGTCATGGGTCATAGGTCTCAGCCCAGAAGACCAGAGCCCCCTCTCAGGCCCCTTCCCTCAGCCAGGTCAGGATCCAGGGTTGACTGGAGTCAGTTCAGTTGGCAGGTGACCTCCAAAAAGCTTAAGCTTTTAAGTCTGGGTGATCCTGTGTTCCCTAGTCCCAAACATGCCCCCTCCCAGTGCATGGGGGTGGGTGACAGACATGCCCCTACAGGGCCAGGCCTAAGCAGAGGTAGGGCAGCAGGTCCAGGCTTCCCCAGTGGCCTCCCCTGCCCCCTTCACAGTGCCCTTCCCAGCCCTGGGGTGCTGAGCTGAGTAACTCCAGCTATGCAGCCTGGCCGGTCTTCCTGGGCGTGAGTGGGCAGGGCTGTCCTGGAGGGGGAGGCCCCCCCACACCTGCAGGGCCCCAGGAACAAAGAGAAATCGGGGTGGGGTGGGGGGTGGGGGGAGGATGCTTGGCAAAGACTGAACTACCACAGCAGGTCCTCTGTGCGCCTGCCCCTATGCCGGATCCGCAGCATGCGCCCAGCACTGCTCTAAGGGCTAACACACACAAGTTCACTCAGTCCTCCCCAGCGCCCTAGGAACAGGTATAACTGCTATTCCCATGGTACAAAGGAGGAAACTGAGGCATGGTTAACTTGTCTAATTTCACCAAGCTAGGCATGGTGCTAGCTGCCCAGGCAGGCGGCTCCAGATGCTTCTAAAGCAGGTGATGTTGTTCCCATTTAACAGTTAAGAAAAAAAGAGGTGTCAGTTGATCCAACCATCCTCTCTAGCCTCCCCTACCCCTGCCTCTTCCCCCAACCCTCCACCCCATACTCAGCCACAAACTGTGGAGCTCAGCACATTTCAGAGTGGTTTGCACAGGTCCAGGTAAGTCTTTGCAGGTCTGACACCCCTGAGGAGAGTGATCAGAAAAAGGGGGAGAGGGGTGCAGAGAGCTACCTGCAGACCATGGCCAGAGGGTGGGGAGTACTTGCTCGGGGGAAGAAAGATTCCTGACGTCCAAATATTTCCGAATCCCTGAACGACTGTGGGGTGGAGGACTGTACAGCTCTGGGCAGTGGCTCCACTGCCTGCTGCCACCTGCCCTTCTCCAAAGAGGTGAATCCATCATGAAAGATGCCTGGGTTATTGTTGGCTGAGAACACGTGGCTGGTCTCTAGAAGTGATGAGCTCCCAATTGGGAGAGGCAGGGGGGCCTGAAAGGCGTGTACTGGGAGGGGCACAACCCAGCAGGCTGAAGGGCCCCTCCCTCCTCTGCGGTTCTTCTGGGCCACCGCCACTTACATGTCTAATAAGCCCTGCAGACCCAACAAGTCCCGAACTGAACTCCTAACCACCCGACCCTGATCCTCCAGCTGCCTGCCCCAACCCACTGAGGCAGCTCCATCTTTCCCGACAGGGCCTCAGACCTAAAACTCAGGCCTGAAGAGGGCTACAGTATGGAAGATGTGGCAATGAGAATGGCCACCCCACACAGGACGCTGTCTGGAAAAGGAGTCCCTTCATAGACGGGGAGGGTCTAGCCACTAATGAATGCTATCTCTCTGAGGAGCTGGGTGGACCGGGGGATTTCCCCCTGGTGACTAGAGTTACCATGGAGCCCCTCTGCCCTGAGGGAAACCCACAGGCAGGCTGGGTAGAACCACATGATGTAGATACAGGGGTGTCAGTTTTCAGTACAGACATACCTTGTTTTGTCACATCTTGCTTTATTGCACTTTGCAGATACTGCATTTTTAACAAACTGAAGGTCTATGGCAACCCTGTGTGAAGCAAGTCTATTGGCGCTGATTTTGCTCACTTCTGTTACATTTTGGTAGTTCTTGCAGTGTTTCAAGCTTTTTATTATTATATTTGTTTTGGTGATTAGTGATCTTTGATGTTACTGTTGTAATTATTTTGAGGCACCACACCCACATAAGACAGTGAACTTAATCAATAAATGTGTGCTCTGACTGTTCCATCCACCTGCTATTCCCCTGTCTCCCTCCCTCTCCTCAGGACCCCTGTTCCTTGAGACACAACAATATTGAAAACTAGACCAATTAATAACCCTAAACTGGCCTCCAAGTGTTCAAGTGAAAGTTTCATGTCTCTCACTTTAAATCAAAAGCTAGAAATGATGAAGCTTAGTGAGGAAGGCATGTCGAAAACCAAGATAGGCCAAAAGCCTGGCCCCTCATACCAGGTAGCCAAGTTGTGACTATAAAGGGAAAATTCTTGAAGGAAATCAAAGTGCTACTCCAGTGAACATATGAATGTTAAGGAAGCAAACCAGCCTTATTGCTGATATGGAGAAAGTTTGAGTGGTCTGGATAGAAGATCAAACCAGCCACAACATTCCCTTAAGCCAAAGCCCAGTCCAGAGCAAGGCACTAACTCTTCAGTTCTGTGAAGGCTGAGAGAGGTGAAGAAGCTGCAGAAGAAAAGTTTGAAGCTAGCAGAGGTTGGTTCATGAGATTTAAGGAAAGAAGCCATCTCCACAACATAAAAGTGCAAGGTGAAGCAGTAAGTGCTGATGGAGAAGCCACAGCAAGTTCTCCAGCTAAGGTAATTAGTGAAGTTAGCTATATCAAACAACAGATTTTCAATGTAGACAAAACTACCTTCTATTGGAAGATGCTGCTATCTAGGACTTCCATAGCTGGAGAAGTCAATGCCTGGCTTCAAAGTTTCAAAGGACAGGCTGACTATCCTATTAGGGGCTAATGTAGCTGGTGACTAAGTTGAAGCCAGTGCTCACTGACTATTCTGAAAATCCTAGGCCCCTTAATAATTATGCTAAATCTACTCCATCCATGCTCTATAAATGGAACAGCAAAGCCTAGATGACAGCACATCTGTTTACAACATGGCCTAAGCCTACTGTTGAGACCTACTACTCAAAAAAAAAGATTCCTTTCAAAGTATTACTTTACTCACCAATAGTGCAATAGAGAGCTGATGGAGATGAACAATGAGATGAAAGTTTTCATGCCTGCGAACACAGCATTCATCCTGCAGCCCATGGATCAAGGAGTCATTTAAACTTTCACGTCTATTTAAATAAATACATTTTGTAAGGCAATAGCTGCCATAGTGATTGCTCTGATGGCCATGGGCAAAGTAAATTGAAAACCTTCTGGAAAGGATTCACCATTCTAGATGCCATTAAGAACAATCATGATTCATGGCAAAAGGTCAAAATATCAACATTAACAGGAGTTTGGAAGAAGTTGATTCCAACCCTCATGGATGACTTTGAGGGATTTAATACTTTGGTGAAGGAAGTAATTACAGATGTGGTGGAAATAGCAAGAGGACTAGAATTAGAAATGAAACCCGAAGATGTGACTCAGTTGCTGTATCTCATGGTAAAACTTGGGCGGATGAGGAGATGCTGCCTTTGGGTGAGCAAAGAAAATGGTTTCTTGAAGTGGAATCTATTCCTAGTGAAGATACTGTAAAGATTGTTGAAATGACAGTAAAAGATTTAGAATATTACATAAATTTAGTTGATAAAGCAGTGGCAGGGTTTAAGAGAATTGACTCTAATTTTGAAAGTTCTGTGGGTAAAATGGTATCAAATAGCATCACATGCTACAGAGAAATCATTAATGAAAGAGTCAGTCAATGCAAGCTTCATTGTCTTATTTTAAAAAATTGCCACAGCCACCCCAACCTTCAGCACCTACCACCCCAATCAGTCAGCAGCCATCAGCATCAAGCCAAGACCCTTCAACAAGAGAAGCACCACTTGCTGAAAGCTCAGGTAATGGGTAGCATTTTTTAACAATAAAGCATTTAAAAAAATTAAGGTATGTCAAATTCAGATGGCCAACAGACATGAAAAGATGCTCCACATTGCTAATCATCAGAGAAATGCAAATTAAAACCACAATGAGATACCATCTCACACCAGTAAGGATGGCCACCATCCAAAAGACAAACAACAACAAATGTTGGCGATGTTGTGGAGAAAGGGGAACCCTCCTACACTGCTGGTGGGAATGTAAACTAGTTCAACCATTGTGGAAAGCAGTATGGAGATGCTCAAAAAACTAAAAATAGAAATACCATTTGACCCAGGATTTCCACTCCTAGGAATTTACCCTAAGAATGCAGCAGCCCAGTTTGAAAAAGACCTATGCACCCTTATGTTTATTGCAGCACTATTTACAATAGCCAAGATATGGAAGCAACCTAAGTGCCCATCAGTAGATGAATGGATAAAGAAGATGTGGTACATATACACAATGG